ATTAACTTTAATAATTTCTCGTTTCTTTTACATATCACAACTTCCCTTAAATTTCCCAAATATTTGCTATGTCGGGCCAGTGGTATTGTTTTATCAGAAAAATTATGACTTGTATGGTGACACCGTCACAGATATTGCGTTTGTTTAGAGTACGTCAAACAAGATGAGTTCAAACGGGAAGACGGGTCTTGTTTACATCCCCATTCCCCACCATGAGTACCTTTGAGCAGCTCATCTTTTATGGCCTATGGGTAGTCTTGTCTTCCAGATACGTTGAGATATCATTGGGTGCTACCCTCGGTATAACCTTATTTTTATCGAATAAAAATACGGTCTACGCTATATTAGCTTACCTATTTAAACAAATTCAAGTAGATTTGCACATAAATTTTAATAAAATCACTATCTGCGTCTTCAAAATCAGTTGGATACAAATTATCACAAGTGGGATGGTCCGCATTACAACTACACATTTCTGGGCAAGTCATTTATTCCAGCGAGTGAAGAAGAACTTACTGCCTTGCAGAAACTTGGTACCTGATGATGTTTTGTATCAGCTGGAAATATTTGCTGGGGAAATAAAGCAAGACCTAAAACAAAATTACTTGCAGAATTGAGTTCGAAATGGGATCCGGAGTACTAGTGCGGTGTTCATGGAGTACAGTGATAAAGGTGTAATCGGCGGTGTAACACCGAATACACTATCATTTTGTACCGAGTAAACAGTGTCCCACCATCTTCACACCCTTCGGCCACCAAATTATTTCCAACTGCAAATAAAGAGTGCACTTAACTTACTGCTACCAATTTACGAACGCCATAGTGTCAATAGTGTAAAAAGTGTCGACACTTTCTACCATTCCCAACTCACCTTTTGTACTCGCAATTAAGAGAGCTGATTTTCAAGAATTGTGGTCAGAAGATGATGAACCGAATGCAGCCATCCCTAATTCAGTTGGACATCCCTGTTATGTGTGAAGAGCCATGTGCTCCAGAGTCTCTGCTTCAACTAATTAAATGTTCGTGTCGAAAAAATCGATGTTCATCACCATGTAAATCTTCAGCAAACAATATATGCCTTGCACAGAAATGTGTAGATGTAATTCGGACCATTCAACTTGTGATAATTTGTATTCACATGATTTTTCCGATGGAGATAGTGATGAAGAAATGATTCGTCTTGCAAGGTCGTCCATAGGGCTTCGCGAGACTACAAGACTAGTGTTGGTCTTGTCTTCGTCTTGGTAGCAAGACCAAGACCAAGACCAAGACCGAGACCAAGACCTGATAAATCTTCTCAAGACCAAGACCAAGACTTGACGTTCAAGACCAAGACCAAAACCAAGACTCTCGTCTTGGTCTTGGTCTTGAAAAGAGATATCGACTCAATATTTATGGAAATATGCAAATTCATATATCTTCTCTTAATGTCTTTTAATTAAATCAACTCATCAAATTTATTATTTTTTGAAATTCATGAGAAGGTATTATAGGTTTTACTAATACATACATGCAACATAGTGTAGGTAACATGCATTTACACAGAATACATCGATATTTTCCTATCCCTACATAATACAATACCTAAGTATTGGAATTTCCAAAGATAATTCTTAATTAACTAACTAACCTGAACTAACACAAACCCCACATCTCACCCAAACTAACCTAAATCTAATTATTGTGAATAAGCCAATATAATTCAAATGAGGTATGTGATTATGTAAGGGTTCTCGAAAACCTTTCTCTGGCCTGAATGCTCAGGTAGGTAAGGTAGGGTTAATCTATGGTTCAAAAAGAAATTTATTTTTTTCCTCGGTACAGAATGGCAATTTTATGATGTGTTTGTCAACTTTCCTGTTCCGCTAATAAAAATTATAATTTAAGAATTGATTTTTATTTGTTCCTCTGTGTTGTGAAATGCTTTGTGCGGTATTTCTTGACATGAAACGCTCTTGGAGGTAAAAATAGCCTGTGAAGAAGACCAAATGCATGGTCGAAACGTCGGCATAATTTTTTCAGAAAGGGGGGTTTATTTTTAATTTCTGAAGTCTTAAACCCATCATCTCTGCTCTGTCGTTGGATGTTATGTATATTTTAAAAATTTGGTATAATTTTTTTTCAAGACTATCAAGACCAAGACCAAGACTATCAAGACCAAGATCAAGACTGAGCCAGTCTTGTCTTGGTCTTGAAACATCAAGACCAAGACCAATACCAAGACCGCATTTATTTTTCGAGACCAAGACCAAGACTGGCCAGTCTTGGTCTTGGTCTTGGTCTTGCGAAGCCCTAGTCGTCCATATCAGTGCTCCGCATTAAATCGCTTTTTTTACCAGTTCAAAGTGCGAAATAAATACGAAAAAGTGTATCAATCAAAAGCAGGAAAAGCCTTCTTTTGAACAGTGAATAGTGTGTTTTCAAAAAGTGCTAAAATAGAATTAATTTGCTAAAACCAATAAGAGTCCAAGACCAAAAGACTAGCAAAAGCCAAAATCCGTATCTCTGAACATTCTTATCTTTATAAACAACTTTTTGCAGCTCAAAATCCTCTTAAGAATTATTCTAAATATTTACCACTGATCTATAATAAGAATGGGAAGTGTTGCTTGCACTAAATGTAAGAAAAACTGCACCACAAAAAGCAAGGAACGAAATCTACCCAACTTGCCGTTTGCGTCACCATGTGACATCTGCAAAACATGCCTAGTAATGCGAAAAATGGTCAGCCACCGAAATTCGCTTTATAGAATTGAGAGAACGAGTTATTTCCTATGTCTGCACATCTTGTATGAAGCCTTTTAAGGAATTTCCCTCTATGAAAAAGGAGGTAGACTCGGATATTGAAAGCTTAAAAAATAAAGTAATCAGCCTTGAAACAGCAATTAACGAATTGAAACCACTAAAAAACCTTTCCGAAAAAACAAAACTACTAGAAAACACACTAAAAGAAACCCAAAACAATATCGAACAATTAAAAGAAGAAACCCGGGAAGAAACCTGCAAAACGCCTACATATGCAGGCATTACTGCTCTCCAAAACAAAATAGAAACTGTCAAGTCCAAAACAGAATCAACCAATACAAGACAAAACAGTCCAGAAATGGAAGTGACAATATCCGAGCTTATGGAAACAGAAAAAAGGGCAAGTAACATTTTGAAACTGTCAAGCAACTAATTGGAGACATTGGGGCTCAAGCCACTTTGAGAGAAATCGTAGTTTTAAGACTTGGTAAATTTGACCTAATCCCAATTTTTAAGAGTGGAGACACACATCATCCTACAAACTACCGACCAGTAAATCTGACATGTACACTCTGTAAAGTAATGGAAAAAATACTTGCAAAAGATATCACAAGTTTTCTACTGGAAAGTTCTATTATTCCACCGTCACAACACGGATTTCTACCACCAACCTCTTGAATTATGTAAATTATTAGACCAAAGAAGTTGATGAAGGCAAACCAGTAGATATAGCGTATCTCGTCTTTCAAAAGGCTCTCGACACCGTTCCACATGAAAGACTTCTCCACAAACTAAACCACTACGGGATTAGAGGATCTTATCTTCGATGGAGTGACTCCTTTCTTAAAATGTAGAAAATACGCAGTCAGGGTCAATGGAATCTGTTCAGAACTACACCCCGTTATCAGCGGTGTGCCGCAGGGATCAGTGTTGGCTTCTATCCACTTTATACTCTATAAAGCAGACCTAACCAAAAGTTTTAAAAGTAACTCAGTATCTTTTGCAGATGACAAAAAATTCTTGAAGCAATTGGATCAGTTTAAAGAGGACCTCAGTACAATCGAACGATGGACTGACACGTGGCAGCTGAAACTAACTGAACAGAAATGTACAGTGCTGCATGTAGGAAAAAATAGCCTGATAATTGACTACAAAATTAAGGGAATCAAGCTGGGGGTACAGGTAAGCCAAGATCTTAAATGGGAAACACACATAGGCCGAGTTGTGAAGAAAGCGAATCAGTTGGTGTACCTAGTTAAAACGGCTATTACCAATTAGTCTATCAAAAAAGTCTATATAATCTACATAAGGCCCAAACTTGAATACACACATAGTCTGGAACCCGTACTACTGCAAAGATATAAAGCTGCTTGAATGTGTACAACGAAGAATCACAAAAATCCCAACTGAAATGCATAATCTTCCATATGATATCATATTGCAAAGATTTAACTTAAAAACTCTGTAAGAAAGAGGCGACTTAATAGAGACCTATAAGATCCTTTGTGGATACTACTTCCCAGAACTGCATATGCATATGGCAGACATGTTTCAACAAAACACGAATAAAAACCTCAGAGGACACGACAAGAAAGAGAGAACATCCTTAGCGTTAGGAAAAAACTTCTTATGCAACCGCGTAGTATACCGGTGGAATGCATTAAACCAGGATACTATAACCGGGTCTAACAAAAACATTTTCAAGAAAAGACTAGATTGGAACCTATCTGAACTTAACTCCACCCTAGTACACTTCTTCTAAACCCAATTAAAAGAAACGATGCGGAGTATTGAACAGACAAGATACGATAGACTTATCGGTGTCAAAACTCTTTCTATTGTCAAGCAAATAATAATAATAATAATAATAATAATAATAATAATAATAATAATAATATTGATAAGATGATAGTGATGAGGCCGATTTGTAATTTTATTAAAATGTATGTGCGAATATATTACTTAAATTTCATTAAATGCATAAACAGCGGCCATCTTGCGTGACGCACCCCAAACAAACGCAAAATCTGTGACGGTGTCACCATACAAATTATTGAACTACATAATTTGTCTGATAAAACGACACCAGTTGCATCTGAACAAAAGTTTCAGATACTTAGACGATCCTTCAACTCATTATTTCATATACAGACTAAACTTAAGGTTGAAAACTTCAGTATAGAGTCATTTTACAACTTCAGTAATCACTCGAGAAAAATCCTGACTCATTTATCAAAAATTCTTTTTTGTTCTAGTTAACCTACTCGTGACGGTATGCGCGTGGCGGGCGGCGACGAGTACGCCGAACTGGCTGAATTGGGCGGCGGCGGCGGAAGCTACGCGGGCGGCTCGGGGGCGGCCTCGAGGGGGCGCCGAGGGAACGGTCGAGGCGTCGGAGCGCCGGCCGAGGCCGAAGACGCGCTCGGACTTCAAGGGAGCCCCCGAAGACCGCGTTCGGGATTGTACTATTCGCCTCCCGGTACCAGTTATACGATCGTCGAGAGGCCCAGCTCGGCGCTGCACCATCACAGAGAGTACCGGGACAGGGAGAGGGATCGAGAACATCAGTACAGTTCGCTCGGTAGTCCTAGGGGTAAGCACATGTTACTTTAAATAGCCAAAATTAAATTCGGGGTGACTGAATCTAATAGTCTGGCCCCAGGCCAAATCTCCTTTTAATCCAGACCGGTTTTGGCTCTAGCCTCGGACCTACCTTAATGCAATTTTAGTTGCACAATAAATATCAGGATCCATTTTCCAGGTACTTATTTAGGATCGAATCCGAGCTTCGCTAATAACACGCGCGCGACATCAAACAACAAAAAGCGTCCCATTTCTCCAGAACAAGTACTTCGGCTGTTCGGTACTGCCGCTACCGCGGTTCCCAAATCCAATCAGGATCGTTCCAGAAGATCGCCTGTGAGCAGTCCACCTTCCACCACTCACAACTATAGACTACCAGTTTATTCGCCTTCCATTCACGAATTAGCCACGAGGACGGTTAATATGGTCAGGGATCAGCAAGATCCCGGATTCGGAATTTGTGTTAAGGGTGGAAAAGAAGCTGGTAAGAAATAATTTATTTTTATAGATCACATAAATTTTTATTCAGGTTTATTTTTAACTCTGAGTATCGATTCTTGGAGGGGTGCGCCTTAGATAATACATACATAAGATAATACACTACGCCAAGAACACGGGAAACATTCTGAACGCAGGTCGCATGTCTGGTATGCACAAACACGACGAATAGAAAGGAATGAATATTTATTAGATTCGATTGTCATTGCTGTTCAGGCTTCGGAATTCTCGTAATTTTATTATTATTGTCTCTATTCGTGGCTTTATTTTTGAACTTGAAGAATTACATGTAAAACTCACAAAAGCTCATTTTTGACCCTGATGCAAATGAAACTCAAGCCTAAAAATCCTATCTCCGACTCTCCTAGAGCTAAAATATGGAATGAATTAGAAAAGGGAAAAGTGAACTTTGAAGCAGCTTGAAAATTTCAATTTTGATCCGCACAGAGCTGAACTTGAACTGCAAAAGCATGAAAAACTTATTAGCGGCTCTCTTACAGTTTCAATGCTATCAGAAAAGACTCCGAGCTAGATTAAAAGCTTATGAAGATATACAAAGGAATGTCTGATAAAAATTGAGACTTGGAAGGAAACTTTAATGGATTTTTGTGTAGATATGAATATGTATGTGTAATCTAAAGGTTGCCCTACAATTGTTGTAACTCCTGTTTCAAATTTTCATCTAAAATCCCATCTTAAGCTTTAACTCAACAAATTGGGCGTCGTCCAAGTGTAAGGAACAATTTAAACTAAAGCAAAATACATTTATCACCCTTCTGAGATTCAAACCAGACAAATCGTTCCGGGATTATTTATGAGAACCGTTAAGGCTGTTCCCGTTTAGAGAACACGAGACAGCCTTGTTTTCTTGATCACTTTATTGACTGTAGCTTTGTCGAATATCGATTCAGAAAAAAAAAAAAAAAAACGAATTTTCAGGTGTCGGAGTGTACATTTCGAGGGTCGAAGAGGGCAGCGTGGCCGAAAGGGCCGGCTTGCGACCGGGCGATTCCATTTTGGAGGTGAACGGAACACCATTCATTGGGATAGCGCACGAGGAAGCCCTCAAGGTAATAAAAAATGTAAGCACTATAATTTTTACATAATTTTCTCGCTTTATTATACACGTGCTGTTAGATTAGTAACTATAAGGGCTGGTATTATAAAACTACTTTGAGAGTTAACTTGAAGTTAACTTCTGAAAATACATGTAATTCAAAAAGTTAACTTCAAGTTAACTGTCAAAGCAGTTTTATAATACCTGCCCTAATATTTATTGTCCGTCGTTTTCAATCTGACACTTTCTGTATGAGGAGCGAGGGGGTGATGGCATAAACAGGTGTGACGTCAGGTGGCCATTGACGTTCTAATGTAGGCTGCCACCAGCTCACATTCTTTTCGAGTATCAGATTAAAATCGACGGACTTTACACTCAACGCATAACATTTGTAACCTACATATCATGATAAGATATTTCCTGGTTCCTGCCTATGGTTGTGCATAATTTTAGTGGTCTTGATTGCCATTTTATTTTTCAAAGTATTTTTTTAATCTGGCATTTTCTCAGTACAATTAAAAACAAGAGATTCTCCCCAAACAAATAACTCACAAGGATATTACCTAATTCTCTTTTTCTCTCCACACCTTTGGGATCTATTAAGCTCTGGTGCGTTTCCCATTTCTCAGGATTTCATAGCCTTAGCACGATTGTCTCGGGTTATATCCCGGGGATTCGTGGCTTGGAAAATTTCTTTGCCAAAGAAAAATATCGAACGTTGTCGCAAAATAAACAAACTAAGTAAGTGACTAGTTTCGGAAGTAGTTTTGGAATAATTTCAAACTAAATTAAGGTCTTTATTATTGGAATCATAAATACATAAAAACATATTTCAATAGCGTGTGTATTTATTAGGTCACACGGTAGTGGTTTGCCGCATTTCTGATAGCAATCGTTTAAGGGGTTTGAAAAGCTGTTACATGCTAACTGCCCACTTCCTTCGTTCAACGACAAAAATGCGTATGAAAATTTGAATAACGAACTCCATATTCGAGTGTGCAAATCATACTTTTTGCATGCGGAAAATCTTTCCTTTGTTCTTTATCCCATCGCATGATTGTCAATGATACGAAAAAAAAAGGAGGGTTTTAGAGTGATCGTGACAGCTTCCAGGAAACGATAAAAAGTTCTTCATTTCGCAAGGGTGAAGGAACAGAATTGCCATCTGGAAAATACCTGATATCGGAAAAGGACTTGAAAGGAGTGCAAGGAAAATGGAAAGATAAGGATGTAGGCTCGTATTAAAATTTCAGATTCTATTTTCATCTTTGCAGTTTTTTTTTTTAAATTTCCCAATCTAAGCCCTCTTAGGACCGGTTTATCAGTGGACGGTTATCTAGTTTAGCTGTCGGTTAACTAATGATAATTACTAGTTAACTGACAGCTAAATCAAATAACCGGTCCTTAGTGCTCTTCTTATGGGTAGTTAATGGCTAGTTGGTGTTAGACCTAAGTATAAAATATAAATTCAATGCCACAAAAATTACTATTCAGTACAAAGTCCGAAACATTAAAATGCAATTTATCCATTTCCCGTCGCATCTGAACCCTAACGACTACTAAATATTGCAATTTGAAAGCTTTGACCGTTCTCCAGAGTCTACGCTTGATTTATTTTTAACCGAGATGAATTTCAAAAACCATTTTACCGGTATCGTTACTGAAATGCATTGTTCACTTCCATGTTATATTATATTGTTCTCGCAAAACCCTTTTAAAGCCCAAGAAGAATCATTTGAGGTGCAAGTACCCGAAAAAGGGATCGTCGTTTGACTTGTTTTGTCAAAAGGGTCTTTCATTTGTGAAGAATCGGTTCCATAAAGATTTTCTGAGTGCAAGAAATAAAAATATCAAAATGTACTTCGTCTTGAAAAAACCCTCAAAACTAGCTGCACTTTATTTTGCCCCTAACGATGGCGCTTTTAGCATATAAATGGGCCGAATGAACTGAAGATGTTTTAATTTGAATAAATTAAGAATTTTGATGCAATTTTTCATGTTCCGCCCTAAAGCGATATTAAAGGAATACTTAAAAGAGGGAAGTTTTAATCTCTATGGTTAACGAAAAGTGAAAAAGTTAAAAGCAAATACATAAACTATGAATTCTATTCATAGAAAAATTGCTGATGTTTTTTAACTCAAATTCCCTACTAATTTCGCAACGTCAATTGAATATCCAATTAAATTTTCCTCTAATGTTTGCCGGTTCATTAAATTCAGATTCTAATCTCTTTATTTTTCCGCTGCATTTCCTACCCACTCTGTTTTAATTTGAAAAATAATTCGAGGATACTAGAAAAAAAAGTCTTCGAACTTTGAAAACACTGAGTAGGTTAATGTTTTATGTTTACCAAAAACCTTTCATCTTCAAAAGTCCATATCCGAAATTCTCTTCAACAGAAATATTTGCATAGTTACATATTTCATCATGTTGGATTTTTAGCCATAGATAATACATTAACTTGTTCGGATGCCTGTTGGAGCTTGACAGGTGGGAATGAATGAGGGGAGAGAATTTCAAAGATGGTATGCGACTTCCGGAAAAAAAAACGGAATTATTTTCAGACAAAAATGGAATCATTGGTGTTATATATTTATAAACTTTAAAAATGTCCTGTATTTTATATCTTGTTACCTTTATTATTTGTCAATCTTGATAGTTTGTCCATGTATGATCTGTAAAGTAATATTTTGATGAGTTTATTAAAACCTGTAATCTGAGATTTTCTTTTACTTCAACTCAAAACTGAATGGGTAAATTACTCAAACCAGAAAGATTGGATATAGACATCATCTCCAGCAATGCCGCTTATAAATGGACTCATTGGAATCGAACTTCGACATAAATAGCTATTATGTACCAAGGGGATTATGTAGATTATAATGCCCAAAGGCGATACTAGCCCGAGGGCCTCTGGCCCGAGGGATATATTTCGCCTGAAGGACATTTTAATTTAAAAATCCCCGTGGTGCACACAATGCTTTATTTTCTACTCAACAAAATGTTCTGTCATCAATTTAGGGCGGCTTCTCATGAGCGTAATTTGACATTTATGGCGTGACAGCGTACCTGAATGCAGAATTCAAATTGGCCAAAGTCCCGCCATATTGGATACGCTGACATTCTGCCGCAGATACGCCAAAAGTTGAGCAAAGTTTAACTTTTCGCGTAAAAATTCAGCGTTTTTAGAGGTTAGGTTGCAACCGTTTCGTTTTCTTGATTTTTTGTAATTTACTGTCCACATTTGTAACTATTTGGAAATGAAGCAAAAACAAATACAAATTTGTACAATCAAAATTCAAAGAAATATTTCAAAATTTAGAAAAAAAATATAATTTTGACATACGCGGCGGCGTAAATTCTCCACTCCATGTGAATGTTGCGTCAAAATTCACCTATTCAGCATTTGCGCCAGTTATGTCAAATTTACGTTCATGAGAAGCCGGCCTTAGTATCAAACAAAATCAGTTAAGGAGCATTTACATTCACTTCTAACTTCAAGTTAAATTTGGCGTTTGATATTTTCTCATTTACATTGCAGAACATAAACGACAAGTCAAAACGTCAGAATTTTTATGAGAATCAGATGTGAATCAGATGGATAATTTAAAGATTTGACATTTCACAAATTTCGGCTTGCCTTCGGCAAGCAGCTTGCCCAAATTTAAAGTGCACTTCGAAGTGAACTTCAAACTTATTTCAATGTAAATGTGCTGTCGCCATATGGCAAGCACGTCAATTTCAAGACAAATTGGACTTTGAAGTGAATGTAAATGAACCATTATTAAACTTGTGTGACAGAATATTGTTTTTTATTTTGACATGTACATGTACCATCGTCACCAAAAGTAACTGGGACAGCATCACATTAGCTCTTGTCCTATTATATGAATTTTATTGCCAAATATTTGTCAAACTATAATTTAAATGCATTGAAATGAATGACAATAGAACTAGTCCAGGAGATTATTATGCATTATTTGTGTCCCAGATACTTTTGGTGACGATGGTACCTACACTTTATTTTTTCCCAAGATAGATTTTGACATTGAAAACTTTGAAACATAAACAATAACGCTTGACCCTGATTGGTCGCAAAATGAGGTGTTTCTGCTGGTTGACATCAGTTTTACAATAGCGACCAATAAGCATTTACATTCACTTCTGACTTCAAGTTAGATTTGACGTTTGATGTTTTATCATTTACATTGCAGAACAAAAACGTCAAGTCAAAACGTCAGAATTTCATGAGAATAATGGTGCATTTACTTTCACTTCGAAGTCCAATTTGTGTTGAAATTGACTTGCTTGCCATATTATGGCGGCAGCACAAATCCATTTACATTGAAATAGATTTGAAGTTCACTTCAAATTTGGGCGAACTGCTTGCCGAAGGCAAGCAGAAATTTGTGAAATGTCAAATTTTTAGATTATTCATCATGTGTCGTCCGGTAAAAATCTACTGACAATCTGAACGGTTGTGTAAATTTCACCCAAAGCAATCTGAACGGCCAGAACGCGCTCGAGCGACACCCGGCGTCCAATCTGGCTCCGAAAACCCTAAAATAAAAAGTTTCATCGGTATATGTCAAAAACTAACGGCCTGGCGACGCCGAACATATTTTTTGACATATGTCAAATTTCGAGGATGTAGTCGGATATAATTTCAGTCGCCCTACACTTTAGTATCGATATTAAATGTCACCTGTCAAATTTGACAGCTGTCAATTCTCAGGATATAGGAGAGTTCGGAAAAATTGACCGCACCACCGGAAAGTACGTGAAAAATAATAGAAAATCTCGAATTTTTGTTGACAGCTGTCATTTAAAGGAAATACGTCACTTTCCGCCTTTTTGACCTTATCTATGAATTAAACTATCAAAAGAACTATGTTTTCAGAAAGTACACCTTCTACACCACTACATTTTTCTTTTCCAAAAAAGAAACAACGAGTATATCTTAGACACCTAACATCACCGATAAGGTAGTGCCCGTGCGATAAGGTAATGCCCGTGCGATAAGG